CATTCTGGAGACGACAGTGAATTCAACAAGGAAAGATTGGGCAAGGAATTTAGATGATGCACTCTGGGCATACCGGACTGCTTTCAAGACTCCTTTAGGCATGTCTCTATACTGATTGGTGTTTGGAAAATCTTGCCACTTGCCCATCGAGCTCGAGCATAAGCGTATTGGGCTATCAAGAAGTTGAATTTTGATCTACAAACTGCTGGAGAGAAGCGCTTGTTGCAACTGAATGAGCTCGATGAGATTAGGCTTAATGCCTATGAAAATGCCCGGATTTATAAGGAGAAAACCAAGAAGTGGCACGATCACCAGATACTGAGAAGGGATTTCAAGGTGGGAGAGAAGGTATTACTTTTCAACTCACGCCTTAAACTCTTCCCTGGAAATTTGAAGTCAAGGTGGTCCGGACGATTTACGGTGACCAAAGTGTACCCACATGGTACAATCGAGATTCTTGGTGATCAAGGGGCGTTTAAGGTGAATGGTCAGAGGCTCAAGCACTATATTGAACGGGTTTCCGTCCTGGAAATCTCAACATATCATCTGAATGAGCTATTTTACGTCAAGCTAGCGACGAAAAACAAGCGCTTCTTGGGAGGCAACCCAAGGTGAGTTTTTCTTTCAATTTTTTTTTTATTTTAATTTTTTAGTTTTAAAGAGTGTCTAGAGGCTCTCCGCCAAATTTCAACTCCAAAAGCTTTGAGAAAGGTATTATTTGGTGTTTTGTAGATGCACAGGCAAGCTGCGGAAGCACAGGGAGGCTGCAAAATTCGCACAAGCAAACTAAGAAAGGGAGGAAGGACTGATCTCAAAATTTTGAGAAGGAAGGGGGGACTAAAAGGGAGATTGTAACATCCCGAACCTTTTCCCGACAAAGATATTGTCCACTTTGGGCCTCGACCCTCATGGTTTTCGACTTGGGGTGCAATTCAAGGTGACTTTCCATAAGGTCACCCATCCTTGTTGTACTCCACACTGAGCACGTTTAACTTCGGAGTTCTCACAAGAACTCCTCCATTACACCCCAAAACGCATCTTGTCAGTTAAGGTCAGTTTCTTACTTATGAACCATGGATCTCTCCCGTGCTTTGTCGATGTGGGATTTGCCTAAGGTGTTACATACACCCCCCCCCCCCTTGGGACTCAACGCCCTCGTTGAGGTTTGCCCCACTATCGTTCAAGAGGGACGCGAAGAGGCTCTGATACCACTTGTAACATCCCAAACCTTTTCCCGACAATGATATTGTCCGCTTTGGGCCTCAAGGTGACTTTGGGGTGCAATTCAAGGTGACTTTACATTAGGTCACCCATCCTTGTTGTACTCCACACTGAGCACGTTTAACTTCGGAGTTCTCACAAGAACTCCTCCATTACACCCCAAAACGCGTCTTGTCAGTTAAGGTCGGTTTCTTACTTATGAACCATGGATCTCTCCCGTGCTTTGTCGATGTGGGATTTGCCTAAGGTGTTAGATACACCCCCCTTTGGGACTCAACACTCTCATTGAGGTTTGCCCCACTATCGTTCAAGAGGGACGCGAAGAGGCTCTGATACCACTTGTAACATCCCGAACCTTTTCCCGACAATGATATTGTCCGCTTTGGGCCTCAAGGTGACTTTAGGGTGCAATTCAAGGTGACTTTCCATAAGGTCACCCATCTTTGTTGTACTCCACACTGAGCACGTTTAACTTCGGAGTTCTCACACTCCATTACACCCCAAAACGCGTCTTGTCAGTTAAGGCCGGTTTCTTACTTATGAACCATGGATCTCTCCCATGCTTTGTCGATGTGAGATTTGCTTAAGGTGTTACAGAGATCTCCTGCCTGTAAAAAAAAATTGCCATTAGGTTGAACACAGCCAAACTGCATGGAGTTTGCCTGTGTTGGTGCAGTCTGCCTGTGCAAAGCTAATGGCTAAAAAACACCTAAAAATCAGAAAAATTAAAAACAAAACATTGTACTCGTGTGGTAACATGATGTAAATGACCGTGATGCTTTGAAAATGAGTTTGTGCTTGAATGAAATCATCAAAATCACCCCACTAGTGTTGAATTGCATAGTTCTTCACAATGAACTTGATATTTTGACTGACTCGATATGCTTTGAATGAGCAAACTATTTTAGCAACATTATATTTTGTGAGGATAGTGTAATGAATTTTGGTGAAGTGGTTAGGTGGAGAACATTGACCATTCGACATGTTTGGATGTCGTGCTTACTTGCATCTATTGTGAGTTGTTGACTTTGCAATGAGTCTCTCTGTTTTGAATGTTTTATGATGGGGTGAATTGTATCTTTATAAAAGGAAAAATCCTACCTGACAAGTAAAATATAAGAAAGTTGCCATAACAATTAGTGTGGGTAAAATACCAAAATCGTGTGAGGCAATCACTCATTGCACATGGGGATTAGGAAAGATTCAATTGAGAATCGGTTCGCGACCGTACGATGTTGCTTATCAAGTACGATCCCCAGTTGAGTGAAGTGTCATTAGAAGATGTGCAATGACCCTCCACACGGACCGAGGAAAAGGAGTTAAAAGAAGCCCTTATGCGAGTGCTAAGAAGCAGAAATTGCTCTTGCTCGATCACCGGTAGTAAGAAACAAATCCCACTTGTACTAAATACGACCACTGGGCAAGCAAAATCAGAAAGAGAGAAAGCCTCTCCCTGTCATAAAAGGTAGTGATGTGCTTAAAGTTAAAATCGTGTTTGCGAAATGCTTCCCCCATTAGTTTTTGAGACTCATGCTTTGTTAATTGCTTATTATTGGTGTGAGTAAGCCAGATTGTCCTCACGAGATATGCACCTCACTGATGTGGTTAGATTCTCCTAATAACTGGTGCACCATAAGTTGTTAATCACCCACTACCGACGATCGGAATTGAGTGTTGCTATTTGAGTTTTTGGTGGATTTGAGTCAGTCAATGGTTAAAGGGTTGCAAGAACTTGAGTGTGGGGTGCAAGGTATGACCATTAAAGCACAACTTGTCAGTTCAGAAAGAAACTACTGATTACAACAAGAGTACAAGGAAATTTTTTTTTTTTGTGTCGAGTGTTTGATTGGTGAATCTGTGATGTGTCATTGTTGTGGATGGTTATGTGTTTGTGTTGTTTGAGTCGTTGCTTAGGGACAAGCAACAATTGAGTGTGTGGTTGTGATAACCGGCTTTAATATATCGGATTCTTGAACTTTATGTGACTATCCCACGATATATTTAAGCCAATTGGTGCTATTTTAGGGCTCGCTAACCCGAGAATGGTTGAAAAACCATTACTGCCTAGTGCCATGAGTTTGATATGTTACAGGTGGAGAAAGCACGAAAAAGAAGCGAGTGCACAAGCAATCAATCGGGCTCGAATCACTGGTGGAATACTCGCTTGGGCTAGGAGGAGCAGTGGGCCTAAATGGGATGGAAGTGGTATTGTGAGAGGATGCTGGAGGGTTTGGGCGGAGGAATTATTGGGCAGAAGGCCCAACTGAATTGGATACAAGGCTGGCGGCCTTGAGGAAAAAGAGAGGACGAAGGGAATTAATTCTCGAGGGATCTTCTAATTGCTGGTGGCGGAATTATATTGGGGGACAGAGACTTTTAATGGGAGAAAAACATCTCTTGGCGAGGATTTTTCTTTTGGCAGAGAAAAAGCAGCAGGGCGCAGCAAAAACCAGGGACTAGCGAGCAGCAGCGATTTGGCGAATTGACGATCGACTTCTCCAAGGCCGTGAGCTTAGTTCAACAAGAACAAGTGATTTGGTTGGATTTTCTAGTCCAAATTGTTTGTTTATTGTTAATTTGGAAAATGATGATCAAAACCATATTGTTTTATCTTAGTTTCATCATGAACTAAACCCCGATTTCTGGGGGAAACTCCATAGGATGTAGCTATTTCTGGATTTGATGGATTAATTCGTATTTCTTTTCTTCTAATCTCTATAGCATGAAATTAATTAATGCTTTGTGTTGACTGGGCACCAATACATTGATTTGTTGTTATTAAGGTTATTAGCGACAGTGAAACGCTAATAACCGAACATATTTCGTGTGACATAGTAACTTATCGAAGCGACAGTGGATTAAATAAGGTGCTATGTGGTCTTAAATAGGATATCGTTCTTCAGGCTAAATAGTTAATTCATTGAGCTACGACAGTAGGATTTGAATTAATTGTTTAGTACGTAGTAATTCCCGACAGGGATAGCTAGCACATTCGTGATATCCTGGCTGTAGAGAGTTCTATTAAATTGATTGGAATATGTGAATTAATTTGGATATTATAGGTAGCGAGGCCCGGTGTTGCTCCCAGAGCTTTCTCCCATTGAATTTCTCCCGAAAAGTTTACTTTGCTTAATTAGTTTAATTATTTTCCTATTAGTTAATAATCTCATCAACCATACAATTTTCACTTATAGTTTGCTCCATAGAATTGATAGAAATTAAGATTGTACCAGTCCCTGAGAGACGATAGCCGGACTTTCCGGTTTACTACGAGATAAGAAAGTGGCAGAGAACGTCCACGCCATCAGGTCCCCGACCTCATTATCTCGTTCTTCAAGTCTATGGTTGTCTACCAACAACCCTTCGAGGATCTCCTCCGCAATGGCAACCGGATTGCATCGTCACTAATGTGGTCTTCTCATGGGCTACAGAAATCGCCGACAAACTCTGCAATCCGAGGCTCTCTTCAATGGTGTGGCTTGAATGTGAGGTGCATTTTTCCCATGACAAGCTCTGTTGCAAGTCAGTAAATTATACGATGATCTGCATTTTCCCCATGTTCTTTATCTGCCTAAGCTTCTTTAATTTCTTACAGTTTTATGTGAATCATGCATGCTCCTCTTGGTTTTTTGCTTTTGTATTATGTACTATGTTTCCGTGTGGGGACATGTGGCTTCAATGCGAGGCAGTTCGATGCTAACTGATCACATTTGGCCTGCCCCTGCCTCTTCAACAATGGCTTATATATATTATCATCTCCCTCATAAATTTATGTTTCTCTTGTAATCAGTTCTCTTGCCTTTCTCCTTGGGCATTTTAGCTATGACAATCGTGCTTCAAAGAAGTCAAAGCACAAAAACAGAGGAAGCAGAGTTCAGAGGTGGGAAGAAGATCAAGAACAAGAAGAATAGCAATAAATGGAGCAAAGCCCAAGATCTAAGGCAACGATTTTTATGTTTTCCGAGTTTGTTTGAGAGTAGTGCATGCTTGCGATTATTTCTTGCTTTCTAGTGTCCCTTTGTAGCTTCGCTCTATGTTTTCAATATTCATTGTTGTTTTAATGGTTTGTTTGGTTGTGGAGGATCGATGATCTGTAAAGATGCTAAATTGGAAAAATCAAATAACTGGACTGAGTTTTTTTCTTCTTCTTCCTTTTTCCTTCTCATAGAGCAACAAAAGGGAGCGGGGAATCAATCGGCGCTGCTCTGCTGCAAGCTCTTCATCTCAGAGTTGTGAAACTCGACGACTGAACGCATCGAAACGGCGGCGAGGCGGGACCCGGAGACTGTGATCGTGAACAAGTTCCTCGACCGAGCTGATAACAGATTCCGATACACTCTCGTCTCCTCCATCGTGGTGCTTGACAACACCAGAACCGCCATTTACAGCCCGCTGCGGCAGTTAGTGGTGGCGATGGCGGCCTACGCAGCGATAAATTAAATTTCGTAAATTAATTACTTTTTATTATATAAGTAAAATGATAAGTTATGTAGACAAGATAAGTGGAATGATGAGGTGGAAAAATTAATTAATTTTTTAATTTCCACATCATCTAGTTAACGGTCAAATTTTATAGTTGACTGCCATGTAGGAAAAATTTAATGGAGTGTAATGGCCGGTGACTAATGGTGAAACGATTCGTAAGGTTAGTGAAGAATATAAGAAATAAAAGTAGTTCGGGTGGCAAACGTGAAACATTTGTATAATTTTAGTGACCAAACGTGTAATTTAGCCGATACTTGCTAATAGTTTTGTAAATTGGGGGCATATGAATAATTATGATAAGTCAAAGTATGTTCGTGTCTGGCTATTTGAAGGTGAAGGTGGTGGGAAATGTGACTTTAGTGGTGATGTTTGTTTATTTGCCAAATAATGATGTTCAGAGGGCTCAATTATATATAGAACTTTTGTTACTTCAGAAGTCGGTGGTGCCATGGAAAATCTTGGGAGATTTCAATGCTATTAATGAGTTGAATGAAGCTTCTAATTCTCTAGTTGTTACTTAGAGTATTCTGGATTTCAGGAACTAGATCAGTACTATGAAGTTAATAGATCATAAGGTAACATGTTATTGGTTTACCTAGTGGAATAAGCAGGAAGGAAATCCCATTGCAAGGAGGCTTGATCAGTTGGTGGTGAATAAAAGATGGATGGAGGTGTTTAGAGTGAGTTCTGCTTGTACTACAGATCCAGGGGTATCTGATCATTGTGGTATCTTACTGGAACTTCTCCTCCCGTAGAATTGTTGCCTAAGCCATTTAAATATTATGGATTCTGGAAGCAACATCCTAGATACTTAACTATAGTGGGTAAAGCATGAAAAAAGGAAGTGGTTGGTCTCCGGCATTATGTGTATTATGGTAGATTAAGGGGAGTGAAACGGGGTTTGAGTAAACTTAATAGAGAGGGTATGCTGAAATTTCTAAGAGCGCTAGAGTGCTTGAGTAGGAATTGGCAAGGGTTCAGTTTGAAGCGATGAGGGATCCTCACCCTATCATAATAGTCGAAGAGAAGAAGTTGGGGATGGGTTGTTGGGAAGCTAGAAGAGTTGAAGAGTTATACTATGAGCAGAAATCTAGAACCAAGTATGTTTAGGAAAGAGATTCAAACACTGCCTTCTTTCATAAATTTATGAAAATACGGACTCTGAAGCAACAGATAACAAGGATTATTGATTCTCACAATAGAGTGGTGGAAGATGTGAAGGGTATTAGAGAAGTGGATGTGCAGTTCTACAAAAATCTTATAGGCACAGTGGATGTTGTTGTGGTAAAACACTCAGAGAGTTATTATGATGATCTAATACAGTTGAAGCTGAATGATGTATTGAAGATGGCCGGTCATATGCAGGTTGTATCTAGGCAGGAGATAAAGCAAGTTTTCGGAGGAATGGGAAGGGACAAAACCCCAAGGCCATATGGGTTCCCAGTGGAGTTTTATTTGGTCATTGGGATATTGTTGGGAAGAATGTTGAGTAGGTAATCATTCATTGCTTTTCTACTGGTATTATGCCTCAGATAGCTAACTCTACTATATTAAGTTTGATTGCTAAGATCCCTAGTGCATAGAAAATGATAGATTTCAGGCCTATATCATGTTGTAATGTGATTTACAAAGGCATATCTAGAATATTTGCTATTAGGTTGTCGTCAGTTCTTACCAAAGTTATTAATCAATCACAATCTGCATTTATTAAAGGGGGTCCATCAGTGATAACATCTTGTTAGTCTCAGACTCGGTGAGAGATTCTCACAGGAAGCATATTACTCCTACGTGTGTAGTAAAATAGACATTATGAAGGCTTTTGATTAGTTAATTGGGAGTTCCTCTTCGTTGTTCTGAAAGCTATGTAGTTCTCTTATGGGTTTGTTACTTTGATTAGAGTTTGTGTCACTACCCCTAGTATTAGTGTGTCTATAAATGGAGGCTTGTATGGGAAGTTTTCAGTTTGTTGAGGGTTAAGGCAGAGAGACCCACTCTCTCTCCTTATCTTTTCGCAGTGGCAATGGAAGCATTTGAGTGTTTAATGAAAAAAGTAGTAGATTTCTGTCAAATTCCCTTATATCCTAGATGTAAACCAATGGGATAACTCATGTTTGCTTTGCTGATGATTTGATGGTGTTTACTAATGGATTTATTCGTGGTGTGGCTGAAGTGAGTAGGCTATTGGAAGAGTTTTATCTCTTGGCTGGTTTTAGGTGTAATCCTGCCAAGAGACAATCGTTCTGCGCAAGTATACAGTGGAGGAGAAAGAGATAATATATGGGTTTACGGGTTTTCCTTTAGGTACTTTGCCGGTAAATTATATAGGTGTTCCTCTAATTTCTGGAAAGTTAAAGAGACAGCATTGTAAGCTTTTAATTAACAAGATCACAAAGAGATTAAGGACTTGGAGGGCACATCTGCTTAGCTATGTAGGAAAACTGTAGCTTGTTTCTCTTGTCATTTCAAGTACGCTTCAATATTGGATGAACTTATTCCTACTTCCTTGGTATGTGATAAAGGAAGTGGAGATGCTATGTAGTGATTTTCTCTGGAATGTCAGTGATGATGGTGGACGATCCAAAGCAGTTATTGCCTGCGAAAAGTTTACAAAACCAAAAGCTGAGGGTGGGCTTGGAATTTAGAATTTTTGAATCTGGAATCTGGCCTGTGTTGCTAGGCATATATGGGATCTTTTGGCTGTAAGTGGCTCTCTGTGGGTGAGCTGGTTGATAAAGTATAGAGTCAAAGATTGGAACTTCTGGAATATCTCTACCTCTTCTACCGGGACTTGGATCTGGAAGCGGATTCTGAAGTGCAGAAATGCTATAGAATCATTTGTCTCTGGTTCAGCGGAAAACCTAGCTTGGGATGGGGAGAAAATGCAGATATACTCTGTCTGTCGGGTATGGAATTCAATTAGGAATCAGGAGGAAGTGGTGCCATGGTCTAAGTTGGTGTGGAGTAAGGAGTAAGGACATTGTCCCAAAGCATGGATTTGATCTATGGTTGGGTATTCTTCAAAAATTAACTATGCAGGACAGATTGATCAAATGGGGGGAGACAGTTTCAGGGTGTTGTTTCCTCTGTCCAGGGGAGGGGGGGGGGAGTGGAAACTCATGATAATTTGTTGGTGCAGTGTTCATATACGAGATGTGTTCTTGAATCTTGTTTGCAAGTCCATATCTATCTCCAATTAGCAAATGGGAAGAGCGTGGTTTCATGGTGTGCGAGATGTTGGAGTAAGAAGAATGCAAAAGCTCGCCTCTATAGGTTGATATAGAGTACTTCTTGTTAGACCAAGCGGAATCAGTAATGAATACTTTTGACTTGGTCAATGCGCAAATTAATTGAGGTTTCAATAGTGAGAGATTAGCACTAGCTTGATTGAGCAACCCAAAATGGTTTGCCAAGAATCTCTCTTGAAACGATTAATTTGCTATGACAACCTTGTTCCAACTATGATAGAAGTTTTCACTTCTTAGCAATAGTGGATGGAACAATATTAGAGATAGTGTAGAGAGAGAGAGAGAGAGAGAGAGAGAGAGAGATGATTCGAGACACGCGATTTTCATGTGGTTCAACCAATATGGGTTTACATCCACGTCCCGGAGATAGTTACCACTATCTCGCGAGAGACTCAAACTTTTATTAAAATAAAAGACTCTCTAACCTATGAAATAAAAACAACCTTGACACAACGTGTCAAGAACCAAATAGGTACAATTCCACACCTATTCAACCCTTAGCTAAACCCAAGCTAAGTTACCCACTCACCCAATCAAGCCAATGCTCTTAGTTTAGCTTGATCAAAGAGTAATCATATCTAGTGCAACTTCCAAGCAAGAATCCCCTCTTGCTCTTGCACTAGCCCTAATCACAAATACCCTTTCTACCCTAAAACTCGACCTAGCTTGATTATCTCAACTTCCGAGATATCAAGCTATGCACACCACGAAATATGATCACACTATTTTGCTATTACAAAGGAGAAGAGAACTTTGCAAAATGTGCTCTAGGCTAGAAAGAACTCTACTATTTATAGTGGCGGTGTTGCTCCATTTCCTTTCTTTTGTAATTCTTCTTATGGGAAGTGGCTCCTTGAATTGGTAAGCTCCTTGTTAATATGGTTACTCCTTTGGGGACAAGCAATCAATCTGAATATTTTCCTTTTTCATGGTAACTCTTTTGTAGGCAAGCAATCAATTTGAATACTTTCATTTTTCTAAATAAATTCTTTCACCTTTACATTGATTTGCTTTTTTTGATTCTTCCCTGCATAAATTGTTAGTCCAACATAGAAATACAATAACATATATAACAAACATTTTGACCTAAAATATTAGATTTGCTAACTCAATCTTTTTGTCCCAACAATCTCCCCCTAACCTTGATTTAGCATCTTGTTGTTGCATATGCTTAAGATATACAAGTCATTAGCAAGATAAAGCAAGAGGGTAAAACTACCATTTTTAATTAATCAAAAGACTCAAATGAAATCAATTTACAACAAAAGGTTAATGTTAGAATTTGAGACTAAAATATGTTTTTTGAAATTAACTATAATAATGTGATAATCCAATTTTTATAAAATTTTTGAACTCACCACGCAAGTATTTATAAAGATTTTTGTTTCAAAAAGTTTCAAATGTCTCAGCTGAACAATTTTTTTAGTTTTTTTTTTTTGTACTTAGGAAATCATTTTTTCTGATTCAACGATTTTTTCCCTGATTGAACGGACTTTTTTTATTTTTTCTTTGTTACAACCAAAAAAATATAATGATTATTAAACATGCATCAAAACTCAGTACTTAAAATTTCCTTAATATGTATGTGGTTTGAAATTTTAATTTGTGCATGCATGTGATTAGTCAATATGATAAAGTCTCCATGCCTTTAACCTCACTCCATAAAAATTTAGGTGCAAGTTAGAAATTGCTACAATTTCTTAGTTTGATTTTGCTCACTCAAATTTTGACTTTGCCATTACGCACAAACAATAAATCCCAAAGACAAAATTCAAGTCATAATCCAAACTCCACTTGTGTGTTATGTAATCAATGGGTATGAATACAAAAAGAGGTAACTGGAAACATTACAGTCACCGCAAAATCTTCCTAATTTAATCCAACAACATTAACACTAGTAAATTCATTACTATATGCTCCTTCAAGATTATGAAATTTGATAAAAGTCAATTGTATCCTTAATTTCCTACCCAGAAAAAAGAACAAGAATACTACCAAAAAAAAAAAGAGAGAGAAAGAAACCGACAACATATCAAATTGGCGAGGTGTGGCGGGAACTAACTAGCTAGCCACAACAGCCGCCTCGCTTGCCGGCATCGGGATCCTGACCGGGGACAATAATCCTGGTCCCTTTCAACAGCCCAGAGTTTGGATCCAAATCATCGTTGGCGGTCAAAGTTTTCTTGCTGATGATCCGATAAATCTCGGTCAAGACGGTCAAGAAGGCGGTCTCGACGTTGGTGGACTCCAGCGCCGACGTCTCCATGAAGAAGAGGTTCTCCCTCTGCGCGAACTCCTGGGCATCCTCCTGCGGCACCGCCCGGAGGCTCCCTAAGTCGCACTTGTTCCCGATGAGCATTATCACGATGTTCTTGTCGGCGTGTCCCCGGAGTTCCTCCAACCACCGCGCCATGTGGTCGAACGACTGCCGTTTCGTCATGTCGTAGACCAACATCGCACCCACTGCTCCCCTGTAGTATGCGCTCGTTACTGCCCTGTACCTGGAAAAAGAAAAACAGATCGACGAAAACTTTATTAGACCAATGTTATCGAGTTAATTAACAGTTAAAAGGGCACTAATTAACGAATTCTCGTATCCATGATCTATCTAGTAAACTTTATTAGACCAATGTTATCGAGTTAATTAACAGTTAAAATTGTATCATCTAACGATTACAGGGTCACGCCTAATTCATCATAACAACTATGACATAGATGAAAAGATAACGCCAATCATTCAATCAAATTATATGGTTTAAACAATAAGTTACAAACCATACAATGGAACTTGAATCAATATTGAATCCTGAATCGGCATTCAATTTTTTTTTTTTTTTTTTTTGTCTGCCTATGGAATCAATCAAGCTTGAATCTTCATCATAATCCCTCTTATTGAGTCAGTCATCAACAACACGAACAAGATCCAAGTGCAACAACATATATAATTAATTAGGGCTATAATAAGAGGGGAGAAAAAGGGGAAACTGTACCTCTCTTGGCCAGCGGTGTCCCAAATCTGGGCTTTGACGGTCTTGTTATCAATGCTAAGGGTCTTGGTTTGAAACTCCACACCAATGGTGGCCTTAGAATCGATGCTGAATTCGTTCCTGGCGAAACGTGCCAGGAGCTGTGATTTCCCTACTGCCGAATCCCCAATCAACACCACCTTGAACACATAATCTATCTTCTGATTGAAATCTACATAATTCGACATTATTATTATTATTGTTACTACCACTGTTTTTTTTTTTCCTCCACCCCGGCGCCCCCGATCCGCAGTTACAAAGAAAGAAAAAAGGATCAGAACTAATTCCTCCACAATTAATGAGATCTGGGTGTGGTAATTGAATGAAGCTTCAGGATGCTGCGGGTGGGATCGACGACCATGCAAAACCAAAACCTGACATAATCGCGACCGGAGAATGTCAGGAGAGGTAAGGAGGCAACCGGCGTGGGGAGCTGAATCGAATCGAATCGATCGCTACGGTGGTTGAGCGTGAGAAGAAAGGGATCGGAAATTTTTTGAAGGACGTGGAAGTGAAACGTGTGTTTTGTTTTGTTTTGTTTTCTGTAGTTGGTGTTTGGAGGTGAAAGCATAGGAGAAACATAAAGGACCCCAACTAATTGTTTGTTAACGGGTTTTTTGAGCTATCAGGGGTTTTCTTAAAATCATTTTGGTGTTTTTTTAAATATATTTTATTGAGCAAGGAATGGGCCGACTGCTGGCCCACAGGCTGATTGGGATGGGCCGCTCGCGTAGTATCATGGATTAACTAGGTGGTGTCATTAATGCACATACCAAAAGGCGGCCACGACCCAGTTAGTTAAGAGACAAATTATTTTGCTCAACCAGTCCATACATATGGCTGAAAGAAAATACATATCGTGGGTTGATAACAAGCAAAAAAAAGGAAGGTTGATTGACGACTTAATTCTTTCAATCTCGTCTCATCGATTGGCATTGAAAAGACGAGGATAAATATTCGCTGTGATGCGACTAAAGAATTTTTTCAAGTGGCATTAGTAGTCATCTTCAACCTTAAATCAAATCTCTTAACTACCATCTAACAATAAAAAGAAGTGGCCATTTGGATATTGGGAGAAAAATCCAAAAAAATAAACTGTAGGATTTCGACAAAATAACTGTCAAGCAATATCAAAGAACCAGACACAAAGTTTAACGTGGTTTCCCTGAGTACCAGGACTAGTCCACGGGAGAGCCTAAACCCTCCAAAGTCAATCGTATTAGTTGCAGAGTCAAGTTTACATGAAGATATATTTATATAGGTTATGTAGCAAACCCTAATGACTAAGGCTTAAATATTTACATAATGTTACCTAAACTTTAACACCCTCCCTCAAATTGATGTTGGGTGCGCAACATCAATTTGGACGACAGGTACCAATGTCTGCTGGAAGCCAAAGCCTTAGTCAAGATGTCTGCAGTCTAATCTTCGGTTGACAGATAACTCAACTTGATTCTTCCTTCAGTCACCAGTTGTCTAATGTAGTGAACATGAACCTCTATATGCTTGGTACGATCATGTAGAACTGGATTAAGAGAAATTTGTATGGCGCTAGTGTTGTCACCATATAAATGCATGGGTAAGCCGCAGTTAACTCCCAGCTCAACCAGTAGTCGCTGCAACCAGACCAACTCAGAACTCACCTCTGACATTGAGCGATACTCTGCTTCTGTAGACGATTTTGAGACACGATCCTGTTTCTTGCAATGCTAGAACACAAATGACTGACCAACCCGAATACACCAACCTGACGTTGATCTCCTGGTATTCGGACACCCTGCATAATCTGCATTTGCAAATGCTTCAATGTTTTCTTCTCCAGAAGATGGAAAGAAGAGACCCACATCCTGGGTTTGCTTAAGATATCTCAAAATCCGCTGGACTGCATCCAAATGTTGTGATCTCGCGACTCCTATGAATTGACTGACTACTTGAACATCATAGGAGATGTCTGGCCTTGTGTGAGTTAGTTAGATCAAACTCCCTACTAAGCTGCGATATAGGGATTGATCTTCCATTAATTCACCACTATCCCTGGTCAACTTAAGATTTTGTTCCATAGGAGTTGCACATAGCTTACAGTCAATGTAACATGGAGTCTCAAGCAGGTCTATAATGTACTTCTTCTACGATACCCACACGCCCTGCTTTGACCTCCGAACCTCTAGACCCAGGAAATATGACACATTTCCAAGATCTTTGAGCTTGAATGCCTTGTGGAGGGACTTCTTCAAGACCTGAATCCCCTCTACATCACTGCCGGTGATGATCATGTCATCAACATAAATTAACAGAACGACAATCCCATCAACCGTGTTTATCACAAACAGAGAAGGATCATTCTTACTTTGATCAAATCCGAGCTGAATTATTGTGCCATGAAATTTCTCAAACCAGGCACGAGGTGCCTGTTTGAGACCATATAGGGACCGAACCAGTTGACAAACAATGTCCGCCGAGCCTTTCGTGTACCCTGGTGGTCTCTCCATATATAAGACCTCCTTGAGATCCCCATGTAAGAACGTATTCTTTACATCTAATTGATACAACGGCCAATTTTTCATAGCAGCCACCGCCAACACACATCGAATGGTTTGCATCTTGACCACTGGCGCATAAGTTTCACTATAGTCTATCCCATATTCCTGGAGAAAACCTCTCACTACTACCCGTGCCTTTAATTGCTCAATGGTGTCATTAGGGTACATCTTTATGTTATACACCCACTTGCTGTCGATAACGGACATGTCCAGAGTGCGTGGCACTAGCTTCCACGTATTGTTGGCCTCTAGTGCATTCGACTCTTCTTGCATTGCCATTTCCCACTCAGGATTCCCTACTGCCTCAACATACGGTCTGGGAATAAAGATAGGTGTGGTGGCAAACCCCACATAGTCATGCAAGCGTAATGGTGGTTTCCCCATTGTACTACGTGTGGATCTTCGGAGGGTCACAACCTCCTCATTTTGATTCCCTACCTCTGATTCAACGAGCTGCCCATCCCCATCCCTACCATTACCATTCGAAGAAGAACTAAACAGCCCCAAAGACGAAGAGGAGCTTGCTGCTGGCGAAGAGGAGCTCACTGCTGCTGGCGAGGAAGAGCTCGCTGCTGACGAGGAGTCCGAGCTTAAGGACGTTGATGACGCTGCTGATAGGGTGAGCGGACCATCTAAATCATTCCCTCCCCGATTTTATGTACCTCCAGAAGGCGTGGTCTCATCAAAGCAGGGTACAAAGTTCAGGAAATCCAATGAGGCTGCATGAGATTCTTTGTCTTAGGGAGAGAGAGGATAGTACATGACGTGTTCGAGAAACAAAACATGATGGGCAATGCGCATCCTTTTCTCGATTGGGTCATAGCAACAATACCCCTTATGTTTGTCGTAGTACCCAACGAAAACACATTTCACAGTCTTGGGTGCTAACTTGTGACGTTCAGCTCAAGGAAGTAGAACAAAGCATGAGCAGCCGAAAACTCTCAAGCGAGTATAGTCAGGAGTTCGAGAAAACAGCGCTTGATATGGCGAGATCTGTTCCAACGTCGGAGTGATCAGAGGATTGATTAGATGTACCACCGTATGAACTGCCTCGACCCAATAACCACTAGGAACATATGAGTGAAACAGTAAAGCTCTAGTGAGCTCAAGCACGTGTCTATTAGTTCATGCTTGATAAACTCACCCCCTGTATCCGACCTAATAACCTTGATAGTCTTCCCAAATTGAGTTTCAACAAGTTGAACAAACATTCACAACCAAGGACTCGTTGTACCGGGGTGCTCTTTCACTTCATTTCTCCGTTGGAACCCCTTTTCGCTTTCATTTTACTTTATTTTTTTCTTATTTCATTCACTTGGCGGGGGTTCCAACTGCAGTCTTTTGCACGGTCGGCCCTTATTAGTCGAGCAAGAGCAATTTCTGTACACCTGGCGCTCGCCAGAGTACTTCTTTTAACTCCTTTTCCTCAACTCGTGTGGAGGGTCAATGAAATTAAGGGGGGTCGGAAGCTCTATCCGTGCCCTCAAAAACACATCCTCAAGTAGGCAAACCGTTCAACGGGTGGAAGTTTTACTTGTACTAGAGACAGCTTAGCTTCACCTTGTAGGAGTACCCCACTAAGGATCACTAAAATCTCTTCTAAAACCCTATTTGGTGCAATGAACGGTGCCGCACACGTTGGGCTTACCCCATGTTTAAGATTTTATGATTTTGACATGAAGGACCAACTGCTTTTCATTTTTCACATGAGCACCCTGTTCGATACACGAGTCCATAACACAATCCAAACATAGTCACCATTACCACATGAATTCAACGGTCTTAGCTCCACTAATTCACAAAATCAACTGGCACAACAGAGAGCTAGATAGGAAAAATCTTATACTTCAACATCCTCTATAGTGCTACACTACCTCCCTAGGTTGCACATTACTATAGAGACTGTCAATTCAAAGCATATTGAGCAGGCAATTTGCAAGAAAACACGTACTTGGAGCCCTCAAATTTAAAAATTTGGACAGTGGACTAGGCTCCAAGCACACAAACAACTAAACATTCACCCGCATACATAATCAAACATCCCCCCACACTTAAGCACGACATTGTCCTCAATGGAGGAAAGATGAGGGTAGAACGAAGTTACCAGATCCAGGGTGAATGATGGTGGACGGGGCAGGCGGTGTATTCCAGGAGGAGAGAGTGGTCAGACCACAAACACCACACAAAATCTCACAAAGGTTGAGTTATTGACTCTAAAATCAAATAACAAAACTGACTCAACCGAGGAGAAAAAGAGAAAGAAATGCAAACTGACTGGTTGGGTTGCCTCCCAACAAGCGCTTCTTTCACGTCGTGAGCGGGACGATGGCTCCTAAGTTTCGGTCCACCCCAAAACCTCCTTGAAGTTGAGGTTCTCGTCAATGAGGTGGAGTCTCAAGTCACGAGCATGTGGTATGACAGGTGATGGAAGCTCGTGCACTTGATGCGGATGAAGTCTCCACCCTCGAGACCTCTTCTTCTCTTCTCTCGCCTCATTGCCCCAAACCAGATATGACAGCATCGATTGACCACCATCACGTCCACCAAGAGGGACCGATGTCGACGTGACCTTGGTATGGCAAAGAGACACTGCAAATGGATCCTTGCTAAGTAGTTCCTCGAAGTTTGGTGGAGATATCAAATGTAACTCATGGCCGGTGCAAGCCTCTTCCACCTCAACTTCGTCCTCAACCTGGACGCCAATTGCTTCTTCCACCTCCCTTCCTTGTTCATGTGGTATCACCCCTGGGAAATGATCAAGAACTCCTCCTGCTTCACTTTCGTCATCCTCCACAACTTCTTTCTGCACCCTTTCTTGCTCTTCTTCTTATAGCACATATTGGAGAGCAAGTTGCCAAGCAATTTCTTTCATGAGATCTTCTTGCATCTCCTCACTCATGCCCGCCTCTTCAAAGCTCAGTTT